CCCCCTGGTGGTCAGTGCACTCCCACAGGGGGAGTGCTGCTTAGCCAGAAGTCGGGCTCATGGCTGGTGAGTTCATCGGTGGTGGTGGGAGCCTCTTCTGCCTCCGTGGCAGTTGGACATCCTCTGAGGGTTCCTGGACTGTGAGAGGGTGCAGGCTGGGCTGAGGGACACCCCCCACACCCCCGGGTGCATGAATTTCATGCACTGGGTCTCTAGTTTACCTATAAGCAATGTCACATGATTTACAAAGAGAAGCACCAACGCCAAAGAGAAAAGATGAGGAAGTACTGTATTCAATATCACAATAAAGCTAAATTCTCTATTTAATATGAAATTTTACCCATGGGTACTAAATAAAAAATGGGTTAATACTTTGGATTAATACTTTTTCATGACTGAATGTTTATTCTAATGCAACAAAATTCTTTTCTCTATCCATTGTCTCATCTTTTCCTCTAAGAAGAAAAAAAAAAAAAAGTACAATTGTATCCGGTTCAAGAGTTCCAGATTAGAGACCCAGGACAGATAGCAAGGTCCCAGGAAACTGGGATTTAACTGTTTTTTAACTACATTTTTCTTCTTCCAATTAGGACTATATTTTTAGTCCTAATTTACACAAAAACCAGAGGTATGTAACATCAACAATCATAAGAACTCAACTGCATGTTGATGAAACCATATAATTATTAATCTTTTAAAAAGCACGGGTCAGGCAATTTTCCTCAACTAGTCTCATTTACTAAATATCATTCTTATTTGAGCTGATAAAAGATAAGTACTATGTGGCATTACATGGCTAATTGAAGTTTAATGAAGAAACTTAATTTATCATGAAAACATTGTACTTGTGTTCTGCCAAACATTGATGGCTACATTTACATATGTGTCTATAATATACTTGTGATATAAATAATATACACAAATAAATACATGTATATGTTTATTTTATATTATTATATGTAATATATTATTTAATATATAAAAATAAGTTGCATGTAAATATAAGTTATAAATTTTGGTTGCTTGGGGCAGGCTTTATATCATTTATAGCATGGCTTGTTATATTAAGAAAAATGTCTTGCTTCAAAGAGGTGATAAGACACATGATGCAAGACATTCTTGAAAATGTCAAGGCCGTACACTCAATGTATTCAATACTATTTCCCAATATCCCCAATATCCAATCATTAAATCATTCATGACAAAGACATGCATTAAAGTAAATATATACTTCACTGCTTTCTCAAATACATAACCTTTATAATAAAGTTGCATATTTCCCCTCTCTGTTATTGTTTGATGAGAAAGAAGTTCTATATTCACATTGACAACTGGACTTTAGATTTTGACATCTGTCCTTTAGACTTTGACATCTGTCCTCTTTCCTCCCCTTTCCTCAAAGACTTACTGAATGTAGTGTGACCGTACATCCTAGTTTACCTGGGAAAGTATCAATTGCCACCCATAGACTCAGTGACTCGTACACTCAGTGCCCCTTTTAACTCTGAAAAATATCACAGTTTAGGTTTATAGTCATCCCAGCTATGGGTGGGACTAATGGAACATCACAACGAAGAAGATACTGCCCCTGCCCTCAAAGGATTTAAAAAGACATGCAGGGAAACAAAAGATTAGGGAAATTTTCACCCAATTTTCTTTTCCAGGTTTATATGGTATACTCCTCCATCTTTCCTATTGTGACTTTATATAGTATCTCCCTTCATCTTTGCTTTTCTGACTTATAGCCACCACATCTTACAATGGTCCAAATGTGAATATGCCTTGGTTTTATAAACAGTACAAGAATATGTTTAATGTTGTGCCAAAATTCCAATTATTGTTTTTGGGAACAAAACCTAGTACAATAACTTCAAAGAACAGTGTAAAAGTTTTATAGAACAGTTTTCTAGGTTGCTCCTTTCTTAAGTGCAAAATGACATTAAAGTATAGTTGGGTTTTCCACAAAGGATTTATTCCCAATATTAATAGCTAAATGGCTGCCTCTTTCTTCACTTGCCTAAAGCTGACCTTTCTTTCTTCAATGGCAAGAAAGTACGTCTGTCCTACAAGTTATAAGCCTATTTTCCAATATCTCTAAAACTATATTCAATATATCCCTTTCAAATCCCCCCCATCTTTCACATCCAACCGGAACTCTAAGGCTTTGCATCTTAGAATAATTTTAGTAATCTTAGATAACATAGAGGCTAAAACCCTGAGTTTGTAAATTAGTACATTAATTTTTAAAGTACTGTGTGTTGGTATTTTATCAACTCAATAGCAACATGCAGGGGAAAATTTGATAGTGCTTAGAATGATGAATATTAATTTAGGCCAGAAATAATTAAATTTATTATCTTCTTAAAAATGTCTGCAGGCAAATAGTAAATAACACTATGGTTATCAACAACAACAACAAACCCAGATATCTTGAATAAATAGATAATTTTTCTCTCATCAAATGAAGCAAAGCATTCTATGGTCCTATAAATATAAAAATCATATATATTATATGAAAGACTTTAAAATAAAAAATTAAAGTTGCTATTGAATATAGAAACTTTTGATTTCTGTAGAGATAGTGAATAAATAAATATGCAATTCTACAAACAGCCATTAATCAGTTTCATATGACATACAAACTTTCCAAAAGTTGTGGGAGCTAAGGGTACATGTGATATTTATGTCAAACAAAATCAATGCTACTTTGAAGTTTAAACCATAAAACACTATAAAACAAAATGGTGGGGAAGGACAAAGAGGGAAACCAATAAAATGAGATTCGAATATTTCTAAATGCAAGCCTAAAATAGACATTTTGTAGGAAAAGAAACCACTGTTCTTCCATAAACTTTAGTAACCAATAATCACTATATGATTTCAGCTCCTTGTTTTGCTCTCCATTCTTCTCTTTCCAACTCCATGTACCAGATTTGAC